CCGAGAAGGTTTCACATTCTTAAAAAAGATATTTGACGCCCCCGAGAAGGCTTTACATTTTTAAAAAAGACAGTTGGGATCCCCGAGACGGTTTTACATTTGTAAAAAAAAAGACAGTTGGGACCCCCGAGAAGGTTTCGCATTGTTAAAAAAAACATTTGGTAGCCCCGAGAAGGTTTTACATAAACAAACATTTGGCGCCTCCGAGAAGGTTTTACATTGTTAAAAAAGACAATTAGGACCCCCGAGAAGGTTTCGCCTTCTTTAAAAAAGGACAGTTGGTACCCCGAGAAGCTTTCATATTCTTAAAAAAAGATATTTGGGACCCCGAGAAGATTTCACATTATTAAAAAAGATATTTGGCGCCCCCGAGAAGGCTTTACATTTTTAAAAAAGACAGTTGGGAGGCCCGAGAAGGTTTCACATTAAAAAAAAGGCATTTGGAGCTCCCGAAAAGGTTTTACATTTTTGAAAAAGATAGTTGGGACCCCCGAGATGGTTTTACATAAAAAAACATTTGGCGCCTCCTAGAAGGTTTTCCATTGTTAAAAAAGACAATTGGGACCCCCGAGAAGGTTTCGCCTTCTTTAAAAAAGGACAGTTGGTACCCCGAGAAGCTTTCATATTATTAAAAAAAGATATTTGGGACCCCGAGAAGATTTCACATTCTTAAAAAAGATATTTGGCGCCCCCGAGAAGGCTTTACATTTTTAAAAAAGACAGTTGGGATCCCCGAGAAGGTTTTACATTTGTAAAAAAGACAGTTGGGACTGCTGAAAAGATTTCGCATTGTTAAAAAAAACATTTGGTAGCCCCGAGAAGGTTTTACATAAACAAACATTTGGCGCCTCCGAGACGGTTTTACATTGTTAAAAAAGACAATTGGGACCACCGAGAAGGTTTCACATTTGTAAAAAAGACAGTTGGGACCTCCGAGAAGGTTTCGCATTCTTAAAAAAAAGATGTTTAGTGCCCCCGAGAATGTTTTACATTTTAAAAAAGACAGTTGGGACCCCCGAGAAGGTTTCACATTCTTAAAAAAGACAGTTGGGACCTCCGAGAAGATTTCACATTCTTAAAAAAGATATTTGGCGCCCCCGAGAAGGCTTTACATTTGTAAAAAAAAGACAGTTGGGACCCCCGAGAAGGTTTCGCATTGTTAAAAAAAACATTTGGTAGCCCCCGAGAAGGTTTTATATTTGTAAAAAAGACAGTTGGGACTGCCGAAAAGGTTTCACATTCTTAAAAAACACATTTGGCGCCCCCGAGAAGGTTTTACATTTGTAAAAAAGACAGTTGGCACCCCTGAGAAAGTTTTGCAATCTTAAAAAAAGACATTTGGTGCCCCCGAGAAGGTTTTACATTTAAAAAAAAAGACAGTTAGGACCTCCAATATAATAATATAATAATAATAATAATATTTATTTACAACTTAATAAATCATGTACATTGTTATGGAAATGACTTACAGTTACGTCAATAAACAAGAAATTTAGACATTAACAGTATCAATACTATTGTATCAAACAGAAAAAGTAACAACAAACACAAATGAACAAGAAAGCTTTACTAAGCAGTAATAAAATCGCTTATACAATAACAATTTAATCCCAGCAGGTACGATTTAACTTTAGCTTTAAACTTTAAAAGATTATTTACCTCTTTTATATCAGTCGGTAATTTATTAAACATTCTACAAGAATTATATTGAAGACCTTTCTGGAAATATGTCGTATTATGTTGTCTAGGTAGCAAGTGGTCCTTGGTTTCACATTGTTAAAAAAGATTTTTAGCGCATCAGAGAAGGTTTTACATTTGTAAAAAAGGCAACTGGGACCCCCGAGAAGGTTTGCATTCTTAAAAAAGGACATTTGGTGCCCTCCAAAGGTTTTAGATTTGTAAAAAAGACTGTTGAGACCCCTGAGAATATTTCGCATTTTTAAAAAAAGACATTTTGTGCCCTCGAGAAGGTTTTACATTTTTAAAAAATTGGTCAAAAGTTGTTTCGACAGAACTCTCGCTCCTGAAGTATAATGAAAGATATCTAGCATTTTCGAAAAATGATAAAATTTGATTTTGCAGATTTTATATTTTTTGAGAAGTTGAAATAAACATATGTAAATAGTAATGCTAAAGTAAATGTAAAGAAGCATGCTACGCGTGTGTTTCAAATAAGTTTTTACTTTACAAAATTTTGTGATGACGTCAGATGCAAGTAAACGTATTTCAACTTAGGTTGGTGCAGTAATACCAATAATAACGTATTATATCCCCGCCCCCCCCCAAATTTTGAGAAAAATGGAATGTGTCGTTCTTCATTTAATCAATAAAATAAATTAATCTATGAATGCAAATAATAACAATATACTCACCATATTTTACACAATTTAAATAGTATTTTTATGACGTCATCAATTTGGGGGGGGGGGAAAGAGATATATTTTGATGAAAAATTTACAATGCATGCAATAACTTCAAAACATCTGCAAGATTTTAAGGCATTCGGTTTTGCGGTTCTTGATTTAATCAAAAATAACAGTCTTCAATTTTTTTGCATCACCCTGTATAAGCAAATCGAAAAAACATGAATGCAAATGCAATAATTTCAGAAGTCTGCGGTATACTTTATTGAACGATAAAAAAAAAACAAAATAAAAATGAGAAACGATAGTGCAAACAAAACTCAGATGACAGCTCTTTGTGCAGACGCCTGCTTGGCTGCAAGTGATAAATTAGTGGAACGCCGCGAAGTAGCCAATTTTGCATTTTGCACAATCTCGACATCATATGTGTCAACAAACGGCCAGTCGAAAACGAAATCGTATTTTTGTATTAACCAAATTAAAAACAAATAAATTTTATTTTCCCTTACATTAATGCCAGAACTTCGGGGGTCTGTTGGTCCAGCATCACAAGCAGATCCGTATAAACCGTCGCTGTACAAGTACGGACATATGCAAATTTATTTACAGCCCTGTTTAATAAAAATCAGACGGACAGACGGAAACGGGAGACCTATGTTTTTGTACTGTAGTAATGTAATAAAATAAAGAAAAGTGTCAATCTAGGACTACTGGCAAATTTGTAATACAATGGATCTAACAACAAGTTGAGTTGAATATTTGACTCGTTTGACCGTTTTAGTTAAATTTTATTCCACATTTTATGGTATGGTATTATTATTATATCATACGTGCATTAAAGCCTACTTTAATGGAACAATCAATGCCGCTTGTCATTGCTAGTTTAATCCTCTGCGCGTCCCGGAAATATTATTATTTGTCACGTGACTCCTAGTATAAACCATTCAGGAAATAAATGTAGGTGGAATATATGTAAATTTACAATAAAACGTGTTAAAAAGCTTTAAACAATAATTTAAATATTTTACTACGTGACTGGATGGCAATAGATAGCAGAAGAATTAACAATAAATTGACTTGGCGCCGTTAGTAACCATGAACCTATTATTGTTATTCTGTTGTACGTAGGTAAATGTAAAATGTGCGAAAAATGGTGGCAGTGCCCCAACATTCTTAAATTCAAATAATAACCTGACTTTTGAAGTTTTGTCGGAAAGTACCAACAAAAGTGACGTAATGCTCATAGCCCACTCCAATTGAAAAAGTTATCGATCTCCCATATTAATCCTGAACAACACGTAAAAATAAATCCTAATAGTTGAAATAAAATAAACTGACTCAGGCATTCAATCTGACTGAAACTCTTAGTGGACAGTTGTTTTGTTTCCTGAGATCAAACTATTTGGCTCCTTTTACAGATGTTTTCAATAAAGCACTCATAAGTGTAAAGAACTAAAATAAACAAACAAAACGGGGTATTTGAAATAATTGAAATTTATGCGAACAACATCGTGTCACGCTTTTTTTAGAACTGTTAAATTTCTTTTAATTAATTATTTCTTTCAATTCCAGTTTAGACTGATTTAAGAATATTAAAATTTAACATCAAGTAGTGAACTTCCTGTCTTTCCATTTATTTTATTGTTAATAATACTTAACACCTAATTACTTACTTAGTTATAAATAAAATGACAAAAATTAAATAATCGACACCGGTTAAGGCTGTCCCCTCACCACATAAACTTTGCTACACTAAAGACAAGTACATATGCACGAGCAGTCACGCGAATTACCAACTACACTCTAGTCCAACTTACGTAATTACATCCTAATCAAGAACTTAAACTCCGGTTCAATTACAAAAGTGAATATAGATTCGAAATTATGGTCTATTATGTTAAAAACTAGTTGAAGTCATCCTACCATGAATAAATTACGAATGTGCCGGACATCCCGATATGCGGACACCCACATACATCAAAAATTATCCCATTAGTTTTATGAATACAATGCCAATAACCCTCAACAAGATTGCATCATTTGTCCCATGTCCAAACCGATCAGGGGCTAAATATCAATCTTATATAACTAAAGTTCCGAAGAAGTTTTAGTTTCCGAACTTTTATGAATCGAGTGCACAGCTGTAAAATGGGTTGCATAAAGCGAACGAGACAAAGTTCACAAATATTACATAAAACTTGATCATTAGTTTTTTATTAAGAGTCTGTTTTCATTGTAGTTGCAATAATTGTATGCACATCGTCGTAATTACACCTTGTTACCCGATTGTGCTTATATACAGTCTGTTCCACTTTTCGCCTGTTCAGGCGGTAGTTGCAAAATCTGCACCCCACATACATCAAACGCGACTCAGCTTCCCTCCCCTAGCAGCCCGTCAACCCTCTGCTTAATTACCTATTACTTAATGTCGCCTTCGGCATATGTTTGACTTACCATCTTCATAAATATAAATTACCGTCACGAAACGTTTCCCGACTTTCCTTCGGCCGCCTTTCCATCATGAGATATTAGCGCACCCCTTATAATTTACTTAACGCTTCAATCTTTAATTTTATTCCGTGATAATTTTCATTAGGCGGCAGACGAGTTCAATTTAGATTAGAGCGAAAGACTTACCTCCACGTCAGATTCGTGTACGGCCATTTCTGTCCGTGTAAAGTGAATCTTTTCCTCCTTCCGGACGTCTGAATATTTTTGTCTGGCAAGCCGCAACGAGGCGTATTAAGTAATTTTATTGTCTGTTCATCGAGGCGCCCCGTCACGGGGATTCCGGCAAACTCTTGCATCTCTCTGATGGCGTTCCGTACAGAGTCCTCTGTCCGAAGGGCGAAAGCGCCATCTGCTGCCTTTTCCATGTAACCGAAGTTTTGCAGGTAGTGGTGCTGAAAGGAAGCCTCAGATTAGTGATGGATTAAATTACTATAAAGCGGGAAATGGAAAACGGTTTGATTCGAGTTGACTTTTCGACTGCGGTTGGTATCACTGAATTGAAAATGTCAAATTAAGCCCAAATGTGTCTCCCTGGTTATTTCACATGGGTGGCTGTAGTCAGTTAAATGTCAATGAATTTGCCTGTTGCTTAACGATGTCGATATTTATTAATTCATTCAGAATGCCAACTCAACGAATGACAGCCACTTTAGTGTTTTATACAAGGTAAAGAAGGCATTTTTAGATATGAATCAAAATTTCCTGGTTTGATTACAGACAATTTTTAATTCGAAACGAAAACTTCTTGAAATAATATTTACTTAGTCCGACTTTCATTACCGAACACTTACTACTTCGTTATGTAATGTTATTTACTAATCATTATGATAACTAACTTATATGTGAAATGCTTCACTGAAAGATAAAGCACAATATGGAGGACACCTTCTACGTGAACAAAATAATTTAAAACTTAAAAAGTTCCCATTCACAGTGATCGATTTTATCGTCTTGTTTCATGCAATCAAGTCATAACCATATGCTACGAAGAAACGCGATGAAGTTACCAATGCTACTCTGTTTTCATGCAATAAATATGATCATAACCTATTAAACTAACCATTGAATTACCTGACAAACTTATCTGGGGTTCACCAAGAATCGTTTGTCGGACCCTTGTTATTTTCACTATTCGTTAATGATCTAAATCCGTCTTTTTAGATTTTATTGTGTTGCCTTTATATAGTTAGTAATAAAAATGTTCAGGTGTAAAGTTGGCTGAACATTATGGTTCGCGATACATTAAAAAAATATTGTAAACAGTCGCCAGCAATAAATTTTGGTCAATGCCATGCTTTACCATCACAATGGCAAGTGTTATATTGTGACATTGACGGCCAAAATTTATTGCTGCCAAGTGTACATATTTTAAGTGTACTTAACTATTATTCGCTTAATACACAAGTTCCGTTTATCTGTTTGATGAATATTGTTATTGTTTGGTAATTTTGTAGTAAATAAACAGTGAAATCAGCATTAGTAAAAACAATTGCAAAATAGAGATTTCTTGTTAAAAGCTTGTAGTAATCGGTGGAGCAATTTACACACGTCTAAACTATGAATGGCCACCACTAGTTATTTTTTCCGATCTCCAGAATGCTAAAAATGCGATTTTCAATGGCGCTCTGTGTGGTCACACTATTTTAAATCTGGATGTGAATAATCTGAGCAAGAAAAAATCTTTACAGGATTCTGAAAAAGCTGCATGTTAGTAAGAGTAAACACACACAGATGCTCACAATAAATGTGTCATTTATATTATTAAGGTTTAATAGTTTACGCAGTGTTGTAAGACGTGAATGAAGATAAAAATACTGCGTGAAATGTGTATCTCATGAGTGTTTATTGCTGAATAAAATGAAATCAAGAGGAAAGTATACTTTACCTGTAATAAACTAAAGAGCGTGGGTGCGAACCCCACACTTGACACCAAAACTGATGTAATTATACGTATAACACGCTCGATTTATTGTTGCCTGAAATACAGCTCTTTGTGCGACAAAGGGATTACTTTTACGAAAACAACAACACGCATAAAAAAAATGTGTTTTGTTCTTTGGAAAATTCAAATTAAAACAATGACATAGCTTCACGTTCCTAACTGTACTTTATGGAAAATTTCTAATCTCGCCGTAATTCGTATTCATGTAAAAGCAAAGAAAACATAAAACCACTCTTCTTGGTATCACATTTCTGATTAAAAGAGACATTGAACTGAAGTTGGTGCAAGACGTACGCGTTGTCATTAAAATGAGTATGACAATCGTTTTATCTTTTAAAATGTTTTATGTTCACTGAAACATGTCTGCATGCAGACGATATTTTCTCACAAATTTTATGTTCTGTGGAGCAGACACGTTATTTTATCGAAATAAATTTCAATAAAAATAGTAATAAAATAGTTCGTGTGCGATATTTATAAACGAGACGTGCGATTGAAAATAAAACGAATTGCAGTTGGCTGCGACAAGTTGTATGGGTGGTGCTACTGTCTGTCACCTGTCAGTGCCAAAATTAAGAATGACAAATCACTGATTCAGTGTAAAAGATTTTAACAAATTTATTGTTGCTAGTTCAATGGATCCGACACAAAGTAGTCGTTACTATAATACCTTATGGTCATTCTGTTACACTAATTGAAACATTTCATTATTAAAATTGCATCTTCACGATCCAAATAAATTAAGACGTTGACCAAATATATCGTTAAGTGGCACGCGAACTCCACCAACGCAACGTCGCCTTTATTCCACCAGAGGGAATACTGAGTAAATCAACTTTCGAAACAACTGGGTGGCGCAAAAAAACTGTCTGAGTACAAAAATGATGGAGTTTTGCTGAAATATATTCACTGCGCCCTTATATTTCCTTAAACAGAACACCCAATATATCGTTGTACATTATTTCTTTTAGAACAAGACAAAGAGTACAAAACACAAGCCTTCTTTTGTGATATTTCACCTTCTATTGTAAAAAGCAACAGCCACCAATTCACACCGAATTTAATAATTTTTGAGATGACGTCATCGGATTTTTGGCGGGGATAAACATTAATTTTGTTTTGTAGAAAGTACCACCAAAAAATCTCAGCTGCGTTATTAAAACCCACAAAGTTTTTCAAAGAGATTTTTCAGTACTTAACGTCGCTAAAGCGGCATAAATAACACCCCCACACAGCCCCTGCGCCGTGTTAACTAACGGGAAAATTGGCCTCTCAGCATTAATAACAAGCTTCAATTTCAAGTGTTTGTTTATACATCGGAATAATGTCACATAAAAATTATATAATTATTACAATTCTTTTTCCTAAAAACTCATTACTAAGTGATAAAAATACTCGAAATGACAATAGATTCGATTTAGATACCGTTCTACTGACGGTTACCATATAATAATATAATAATAATAATAACAGCGTGTCGATTTAAATGTGTTGAAATAAATTTACATTAAACTAATAGTTGCTTTATGTTGTTTAGATTTTCTTTACCGAGTACAATGCTCATTCAAACTATCCCTAGCTCAGCTCATGTTTACATTACTAACGTTATCTATTACTACACGCAGCGGTTGAGATCAAAGGCTAAATGAAAATCTCAAGAAACATACGGTAACGGAAATAAAAGTTCATTCGCTGTGTCACCACTTACGGTCATTCATATTCGTCAGTATTGTAACTCTGTTACTCTAAAAAACCTATTCACAGCAACATCCGCTCCAATTTGCGACGACAATTAATCCCTGGGCCACTCTCACGAATTCTTTAGTCACCGCAAAAGATAGACCCAACGACACTTCCTCCAATCTGCGCTCGGTTTTTTTTTGTCTTATCAACAATTATCTAACCATTTCCTCGCAAAATTCGTACTACCGAAAGTATCTCCTGTGGTTACAGATAAAAAGCTTCTACCATGTGCACCGGAATGCACTCAAACTTGCAGACTTCACACTGCGGTTTTTCCGGCGAAGCGCCACAGTGGGACCCGACGTCGTCACGGAATTTTGGAACGAAATCTGGTGAATTATCTTGAGTTACAATTAAACTCGATGTTATTTTAAGAAGTGACATACACCGGTCACTGTTCTATCCCTTAGGGATGTATAGTTAATTTATTGATAATTTGAGCTTGAATAATTATAAGTTGGCGGCGTTTGCGTGTATTTCGTCCCACTTTCGACGCCGCCTCCGCAAAACCCCTCGTCACGGTCTCTATTTCTGTTTATTTTCCCTTCCTAATCCCATTGAAAGAAAAAACTTCACCATGACACATGACTCGTCCGTTTCTATTTCAGTACGCATTATGTTAATGTTGCATCGAAACGGCTTATTATTTCTAACAATGCAGTGCCAGGAGGTCCACATTACCATAAAACATTCATAAACAAATTATTCAGATGAAGAAAAGACTTCTTAAAAACATTAACTTTCTTCGGGCTTATCTCCAAAACCAATCAATTTCGAAGAGGCCGTGATAAATCTCTGAAGTGAGACAGCTGGACGATAAGCGACGCGTGTTTGTTCAACTTGCTATCGCAAGGTAGTCTTGACATGTTTCCACTAACCCATAAAAATGCACTTTATCTGCCTTGTTCTTTCTAGTTTCTACGTTACGGGTTCCTAATCATCAACAGGAAGCGCATCATCATCGACGAATTAAATGAAAGCCGCAAGATTATGACATAACTGAGGAATAAAGCCTTGACTTGTGTAGCGCAAAGCCTTTGGACCATCAAATCACTGATTAAAGACGAATGGAAGAAACAATACGTGATCATTAATGGTACAATGTGAATCATCCAATTGTGCACAATTAACAAGATTAAATGTCCAATGCAGCGGGAAGTATTCTCATCAAAGCAGGTGTACAGATATTTTTGGTTTTTACAAAATTCGGTGCTAATTGAGCTAGAAGGTCAAGGTAAATCCATAAATCGCGCCGTTTCCTGTATACGCAGCTTCACAGATAAAGTACCCCAAATTTAAGTGGCGCATGATACGAGTTTGACTTTTGGTTTTAACCAAACAGCCAACCCCTCTATATTTATTTATGGAACGGTGAAGACACCAGTGAACGAATTTTCGATGTATTATTTCGGATTTGAGAAGCTCAAGCCAGACTAAACACATGTTCGGAAGCGGCAAAAAACGCAACCAAAAAACTAATCAGTTCATCTCTATCATAACTGAATCATTTTACTACTGCTACTTAGTGATAACTGGAGCAATAAATGGAAGCGTTGGAACATTATGCTTTCCGTTCACGCTTTGAAATTATTCAAATTTGATAAGCGTTCCATTGAGGAATACAGAAGCGACAGCCTTTCATGACATGTAAGTACTCAGATCAAAGGTGTAGTAATTTGATGAAAGAGCGCAAATACAAATGGAAGT